TTAACAACAATACATTTCTGTAAAAAAAATATTACTAGGAATAAAAATCTTGTCGGCATTAAATAACCCATTGAGGTTGATATGCAAAAGCTGAAGTGGTGCCATATGGCAAGCCAGCCGCTTCTCTATCGCTAATTACACGAAAATTGATCGAAAGGACTATATTCCTTGATTCCACCAGGCATAACCTTCAGGGCAATGAAACGCCATGCCACTTTTCTTCGTATTCCATCGGTTAGAAGAAAGTTCCACTCGAACAGATTCTTTTCGCAAACAAATGCTCTGTGGAACCGACTCCCAAGAGGATGTTTCCCCGATCACTACAATCTTAACCTCATCGAGGATAGGGTTAATCGTTATCTTCTACTCCTATACGCACAAACTGCCTCCTAACACTCTACTTTGAGTGGCCCCCCCGGGTCTTGTAAAGGGTGATCCTTAGTGTAAAAAAAAAAAGATTAAGAAAAAAAAAAGGTCTGCATATACTGACAAATATTCGAACAAGAAAAGACCATGGGAAAACGTTTGTTTGCAAATTTGCGTACAAAGGCCGAAACGTTGTAATAAAAATGGCGACAAAGATGAGGACAATAGTCCGAATAATTTAAATAGTGTACATAATACCACATCTCAAAAATATAGACAGATACTGAATGATCAGATAAATATGGCGACAAAGATGAGGACAATAGTCCGAATAATGTAAATAGTGTACATAATACCTCATCTCAGAAATATAGACAGATACTGAAGGATCAGATAAATATGGCGACAAAGATGAGGACAATAGTCCGAATAATGTAAATAGTGTACATAATACCTCATCTCAGAAATATAGACAGATACTGAAGGATCAAATAAATATGGCGACAAAGATGAGGACAATAGTCCGAATAATGTAAATAGTGAACATAATACCTCATCGCAGAAATATAGACAGATACTGAAGCAAAGATGAGGACAATAGTCCGAATAATGTAAATAGTGTACATAATACCTCATCTCAGAAATATAGACAGATACTGAAGTATCAAATAAATATGGCGACAAAGATGAGGACAATAGTCCGAATAATGTAAATAGTGTACATAATACCTCATCTCAGAAATATAGACAGATACTGGAGCAAAGATGAGGACAATAGTCCGAATAATGTAAATAGTGTACATAATACCTCATCTCAGAAATATAGACAGATACTGGAGCAAAGATGAGGACAATAGTCCGAATAATGTAAATAGTGTACATAATACCTCATCTCAGAAATATAGACAGCTCTGAATTTATCCAACACTTATATTTATCCAACAATTCAGCCGCATTGTCTATTTTAGAACGCTAAACTTAAACATGGCTATTATTTTCGAAATTCAGAATATATCATAAAAAATCGTCGTCGCTTATTTACATCTGCGCAGAACGAGGTAACTTTCATTCTAACTGCGCAAACAGATGCTGTCTTCATTCCGTAAATACAGCTTTATATTCCAGTAGGGATTTATTTTTACACATCGCTAAAACATGAAACGGCTAATAAAGAAAAACAGTGATTAATAGACAATTTCAAAATTATACTTGTCATATTATTTCCTAAAATTCCAGTCAAGGGCTGGTTAGACTGCTAGCCTATCTTTATATATCTCTTTGCATCTTTATATATTTCTTTGCATCTTTATATATATATATATATATATGTGTGTGTGTGTGTGTGTGTGTGTGTGTGTGTGTGTGTGTGTGTGTTGAGTTGTGTAAAGGAATGCTTATTGTCCAATGACCTTTTCCCAATAATACTTCAAATTTTGTCAGCTGTTCAACGGACAAACGCGTATCGCTGTCAGTTTGGCTTTAACTGAATTCCCTTGCCCCAATCAAAGAAAAGCAGTGTCGAGAATTGGAAGCGTTGCACATTTTTTTCATGGTTTTCATTTTCACTTTCGCAAGTTTCACTTTCACTTTCACTTTTCACAATTGACTTTCACTTTCGCTATTGCTTGTTCACTTTCCTTTTCAGTGTTACACTTTCACTTTCATAATTTTCACTTTCGCCTCCCACAAGTGACTTACATCTTCACGGACATTTTTACACTTTCTCTGTCACACACTCACTTTCATTTTAAATTCCACTTTCACTTACATTTTCAATGTCATTTACATTTGTACAATATTCCTCCAATTCCTTTCTTGTATTCAACCTCGTTTCCATCTCTGAGATTTTCACCCCGTTTCATGTCTATTTCCTCTAACGTGAGATGATACTGGATAAATTGTTGATTACTTTTTTCTTTGACATTATTTGTGACATCGAAAGGGAAGAAACAATAGATAGATAGATAGATAGATAGATAGATAGATAGATAGATAGATAGATAGAAAAGAACAACATGCGATAGATAGATAGATAGATAGATAGATAGATAGATAGATAGATAGATAGATTCTCCTAATCTTTTTTTATAATTATCACAACGTTTCGGTAGTTGTACTCTTCTCCGATATTCATCAGGTGCGAACGAAAGATGAGGACAATAGATCACATATAAAAAGTGTAAATATAAAATTAATAATACACTAACCTTGGTAATCAAAAAAGAATTCGAAGTTTGAAAATAGCCATAGATAGGAAAATATGCATATGTTACTGGCATATTTGCAAACAGCACAAATGGTCAGGATTTGAGAGAAAGTAAAACTGCTTACGATGTTCTGGATATTAATCATTTGATGTGGATTTCTCTTCATCTACATATCTATCTCAGTCTCTTCATTATTTATATATCTCTGTCCATATCTTTTTGTTTATCTATCTCAATCTGTTCATGATCTATCTATCTATCTATCTATCTATCTATCTATCTATCTATCTATCTATCTATCTAAGTCTGGTCCTTATCTATCTATCTAAGTCTCGTCCTTATCTATCTATCTATCTATCTATCTATCTATCTATCTATCTATCTATCTATCTATCTCAGTCTATTCATTACCTATCTACTATCTATATCAGTCTGTTCACTATCTCTATATCTCTCTTTATTTTTATGTATCTAGCTATCTCTGTTCAGATCTATCTATCTAGTCTGGAGATCGCTTGATTCAATTGGCAGAATAGATTTTTATCCCCGCATTATCAATAACTTCAAGCGCTCTATCTCTTCTAAATATAATATATATATATATATATATATATATATATATAATTCATATATACATATATATATATATATATATATATATATATATATATATATATATATATATATATATATATAATAAATTTATATATGCTCCTGAAAAATTATTTCGGTTGAGCTCTCTGGGGAGAAAATGTGTGTTTGTAACAGTGACTATTACGGATAATAATGCAAGACTCTTCGGTAAATCGAATCGAGTTCTCTCAGTCAATATGTGTTTATCTAAAACTAAATACGCTTAAATTCACCTTCATCTCGGTCGTGTGCCAACGGGTAAGTGATAGAATCCCCGAATGACGCCAATTCAGTCGGGTTTCGATCTTAGCTAGAGGCAATCGGACGTCTATCTACACTGATGAACTGTGATGCAGCGAAACTGTCTGTCTCTCGATGACAATATATATATATAGTATTTGGTAATCCGTATGGATAATTCCAGAAAGGATATAGATCCAGAGAGCGTTCGATAATAATATGTATATATATATTTTTTTAAATTCTACACACCATTAATATTTTTTTCTGTTTAAATACAAAAGTGTCATAATCGTATCTAGCTGCATGAAGCAGACAAAAGACATTTACAATTGTATACAAAAATTTGCCAGTTCTTCAGTCGTCCATCGAATTCCTTTTCTTTTTTTTCTTCTTTTTTTCTTTCCTCGTCTCTGTGAGTTTCCTCTATTACCATATAAGGAAGTCCGTTCCAATTCGCAGTGTGTATCTGAAAATTAAGTCAACATGTCTACAACCTCAACATATCTTTTTGAACAATTTAAGTTCATTTTTCTTTCTATCCTTTCATAGTTTTGAATATTTTCACGGTCCTCTTCTTCACCTCCTCACTGTCTGAATACATACCTTTTCTTTCCCACCTCCCCTAAATTTGAACCTGCAAATTGAACATAATTTATGTTCCAATTGAGTTTTTTTAAGCATGGTAAAATCCTTGTCAATTTATATTTGTGTGTAAGAGTCGGTTTGATGACTTGGGATTGAATCTTCGATTCTAACAAAATAAATATCACTATGGTTTTTTAAGTATTCCTTTTCATTATATATATATATATATATATATATATATATATATATATATATATATATATATATATAAAAAGGCTGAAACACTAATATTCCATGGTCATAATTTATTCCATTGGCATCGTAAATACGATCCAATTCATCAGGCCAACAAATAAAAAAAAGAAAACAGAAAAACAACTCCTGTATGTATGTATATATATTTCATTATTTGGCATATGTATGTATATTTACCACTAATATTATCTATCTATCTATATATATATATATATATATATATATATATATATATATATATATATATATATATATATATATATATATACACGAAACGTTGATGATACTTCAATATTCACAAGCTGATACTGAAGGGGTCAATCCCTTGCAAAAACAAAAATCTAATGCTTGGTCATTTAGTTTTTGCGAAGTGTTTTTCACTAAGCCCGTCGTATTTAGATATTTCACTCGTAAACCCACTTTCTCTCTTTTTTTCTAGAAAGGTAAAAAGGGGAAATTGTTGTTAAGATACACTCGACGCAGGAGAAAAACATACCCCAATAAATGAATTTTATAAAAGAAAAATAGAAAGAAAGCAAGAAGAAGAAGAAGAAGCGTACAAAAGACAACTTGAAAGGAATTCAACGCAGAGAAGAATGAAAAATGACTTCTTAAATAGACGCTGGCAAGGAGTAAGCAAAGAACTCATAGCATCGAACGACGTGTCACCTCAGCCGCGCGAGTCATCTACACCTGCCGATCGCGCGTCTTTTATTCACTGCCATTGATGGAAATTTCATCTAAGGCCCCGCCACCAGGTGGAGCGACGTATAACCGACGCCAACTGTCCGTGTTAATTGAATGCGGAGTGCGCCTGCGCCGAGCTTTTTCTCCGCTGTCGCTGCCACAATAGGCGACGGACCTTTTGTCGAACAATGTCAGATGAACGAAGGCAACATATTGTTGATAAGGCATCGGAAAGGTTGTATGGAAAGAATGCCAGGTAGATCTCTTACTTTATTCAAAAACGAAAAAAAAAATGGTGCTGGTATGGAACTGGTTTGAGTACCAATAAACCAAAGCCTCTCTCTTATAAAGAGTTTATCTTGCATGTTGGATTTAAAAACCGAAGGATTAGAAGAAATTTTATGATCGTGGCAATGCGAGAGGCTAAAACTGCCTGAGAGAGTGGGAGAGAGAGAGAGAAAGCGAGAATAGGTGTGAGAGAGAGAGAGAGAAAAGAGAACGGGAGAAAGAGAGAAAGAACGAGAGAGTGAGATAGTCAGAGAGAGAAAGAAAGAATGAAAGAAAGAGTGAGAAAGAGAGAAAGTGAAAGAGTGAGAGAATGGAAAATAGTGCGAGAGAGAAAGAGTGCGATAGAAAGTGTGAAAGAGAGAAAAGGTCAGAAAGAGTGTGAGAGAGAGAAAAGTGACAGAGTGTGAAAGAGTGAGTGAGAGAGTGAGAAAGAAAGAAAGAAAGAATTTAAAAAAAGAGTGAGAGAGATAGAAAGTCAAATAGTGAGAAAGAGCGAAAGAGAGAGTCAGAAAAAGTGAGAGATAGAAAAGTGATTGAAAGAGAGTGAAAAAGAGAAATAGTGACAGAGAGGAAGACTGAGAGAATGTAAAAGAGTGTGAGCGAGAGAAAAAGAGAGAGAAAGAGTGAGAGAGAGAAATTGTTATCAGTTCTTTTCTCTTAGTAATTGTCCATATGCAACGTGCGGCAGAAATATCTCCCACATAAACGTGTGCTCAATGTGTCGCGCCAGAATTTTTTTGCTTGACAGAATCCATCTTGTCCATTTGTAAATCTACCATTCGGTCGTGCAATGAATATTGCTTCTCTATCTGGTCCTTTCCTCATTCGATTCTTGACAAAATTCAAAGAAGCCTCTGTAGTGTGGTATCTCAACTTCAGTCAGTTCCTCACCGACGTGACGGGATTTCCCTCTACAAATATTTTCATGACAATTGTTCTGATAGGCTCTTTTCACTATTACCTCGACTACCTGAATTTAAGCGCGTTACTAGATTGGCAACTTGATCTTACCGTTTTACTCCTGAACGATCTAGATGCAACCGCCACTTGTATTCCATACTAACAGTTTAATTCCGTGCACTTCTCACCTGTGGCACTCCCTTCAGATTTCTTGCTTCCCCGCCAACTACAATCTTCAAAAATATCTCTTTGCAGATGTGTCTCTTTGTCATCCTTTCCTCTTCTTCCCATCATTTTTTGCACCAATACAAGCCATTAGGTTGAAATAAGCATAAGCAATTATCCAAAGAAAATTTCCTGACAAAACAGAAATTTCAAATCAGTTACTTATCAACCATCAAAATCATGTCCGGATATTCGGGATTCCGGATATTCGGGATTCCGGATATTCGGGATTCCGGATATGAAGCACTCCGGATATGAGGAATTCTACTGTATAAAGCAACGTCAATCGCCATCTTATGTCTAACCGAACCCGTTTCTTTAATAATCATTCTTTACATCTCTTCACTAAAGCCTTCTTTCACGCCATGTAAACGTTTGCGTCCTAGTTGTATAGTCGCCTCGATTAGGAAGAAACGGTTAAAACAAATACCTCCCAGAAATACCTCCCATATAACGGTAAGATATTAGTGGCAATGGTGTCTTCATCTAGCTAATGTGTTACCATTATGTTGTGGGTATTTCTGGGAGGGATGTATGGAAGGTATTTCTGTCGTACAATCGGGGTGATACGATAATATTAAAATGTAAAAAAAATATACGAAGTGCGATAATTGCTTGCTTATATCGTTATTACTGGCTTTTTTACCTTCAGGAAGTACACCCTTTGTGAAGCTATGTATATCTGAAGACGACAGTGCCACTGCTGGAAACATTCTTGGAATTTTTTTTTCAGTAATCTAATCAAGTATTGCTGGATGGAAGCGTAGTCAGTAAATTTCGTCTTCTCAAGACATTTGCAAGTTGAGAAAAGGCCAATCATCCTAATGCATTATAGTAACTTCATGGTCGTTACGGCTCAAAATGTAATCGGCTAACCCGGTCAATGTATAGCCAGTAATCACGATATGAGGGATTAGAGTTCAGTGAAGAATGTGTAAATTCGGTGTCTCTATTTCCATCGTTCGTCTCCTTCACCGGGTCTTGCATCGTCTAGTGCAGGAATCACAAAACTACGGCCGCTGGCCGGACCCGGCCCGCGAATTCACTTTATCCGGCCTGCCACTGCACTGTGCCACAAATGAACTAAAATATAATTATTTACACGGAATTATCAATAGATTGTAGTTAAACTTGTTATTAGGTTGGTGCAAAAATAATTTCGTTTTCTAACATATGTTACTATGTGAGAAAACGAAATTATTTTTGCACCAACCTAATATCTATAAATATTAAAACAAATGTAAGTAAAAATGCCAAAATTTGGTCAATCTAATTTTTGCATTGGACAAGTTTTTTAAAAAAAATTGTGAAATAAAAATGTCGGCGAATTGATATCCGAGCACTTCTTTTTTTGTGTGTAAGTACCTGCAGTGAAGTTTCTCAGAAAAGCGATTACGAGCTTGCTGCAGCGATCATGTTTTAACTTTCTTCATTGCCGTGATTAAACTGGTTTGATGAGCGCCGTATATAAAAAGGCCTGACTTCAGCGAATTATATATTTTGCCTGAACGCATTATAAAATCGATGACAACGAGACGCATCTGCAAAAAGAAAACGACGAGATGCCTGATTGTAATGAAACCTGCACTAAAATTGCAAATGCAGTATTTCTTCAGCTTTTCTTTTTTCCTACACATCCTTTCAGATATTTGTGCAAGTTGTGGCTCCTTATGTTAAAATTACACTGATAAATGGAAAGGGCTAATAAAATGAAGTTAATGTTACGTGCTCAATGTTTTTCAGGAAATTTACTTTGTATAATTGCTTATGCTTATTTCACCCTACTGGCTTGTATTGGTGCAAAAGATGATGAGAATAAGGGGAAAGGATCACAGAGAGACACATCTGCAACAAGAAAGCGACGAGATGCATGATTGTGATGAAACCTGGACTGAAATTGAAAAAGCTATTGAAAACTTTATCAGTTTTATGGAAAGAAAGCCAGCATTCAGCTATGACGATTGCATTAACGCACGCAGAGTTTAAAAGTGTCTTTCCTTTAAAAAATTCCAGAACAAAAGTAAAACGAAATGCGGAAAAGTTAAGAATGACATTAGAAGAGAAAGAATCATCATGCAACAACGATTAAAAAAATCCTCCTTACATTATTTGTTTTGCATACGTGGCATATTTAATTTAATGAATTTTCATTAACATTATATAATTTGTTTCTTTTTTCCTTAAAATCAATTCCGTTATATTTCACTCGCCATTAGCTTATTTTGTTTACGATAAAACATTGAAAATAAATTTTAAACCTGATTTCAGTTCTTTTATTTTAATCTAAATATAACCCCTTATATCCGGACTTTGTAATCAATCCCTCATATCCGGAATCCCTCATATCCGGAATCCCTCATATCCGGAATCCCTCATATCCGGAATCCCTCATATCCGGAATCCCTCATATCCGGTTGCCAGGGATTCTACTGTATTACATAGATTTTATTTTTCTTGGTTTGTAACGAGAGTTTCCTGTTTTTTCCTCTATTCCAAAGCATCTGTGAATTTCTATGTTACAATTCCAACACTCTTGTATCTCAAAGAATTTTCAACATCCGTTTCTTTGTATCTAACGACATTTTTCTGTTTCTTAATACTGTCATTACTTTCAATACACCTTTGATATTTCTAACCAAATTTCCGTCGTCTTTGATAAAAAGCAAGCGGTTGGCTGGTTTCGTTGTACTTCAACTACAGGTTTAAGTAATTGGGGTTGAAGCTCTTTCCTTTACATTCTTAATACCAAACTCTTGAATCACCCCACTGCTATTAAAATGCGTCTGTTCTCAGCCCTGGAATGACACCCGCTAATAAAATATTAACTGGTAACGCTGCCCGGATACGTCTCTTTCTTTTATTTACCTATTTACACACTTGTGGAAATTATTTGAAACTTCCGTTTTAGTTTCCATACTTTCACCATACGGTCAGTTTTAGACCCACTGGAGTGACAGTTTTCCTTGGGTTCGGTCATTTGAAGCCGTGTGCAGTAATATACATCTATTTTTTTTGTGTATGATGAAATTTGTTTAACCTTGAAAAATATTACGTCATCCGTAATTGCATCAGATTTTCATCACGCCCAAACACGACTGTTGATTAGCAGGACAGACCGGGTTCTATAAACTTTGATGACAACTGGTCTAACGCAGAAAGAAACGGCAAACTACTACTGGAAAAAAAATCTGCCTTGTCAGTCATGTATCGAAAGATACATGATCGCCTAAGCGTGTATCACGCATGGCACATAATTGACTGACTGATGTGCTAATACCATTGAGAAAGGTATGAATCCTCTTCTTCTTACCTACAGCAGGACAGACCGGGTTCTATAGCTTTGGATGGCAACTGGTCTACCGCAGAAAGAAATGGCAACCTACTGCGGGAAAAATCTGCCTCGTCAGTCATGTATCGAAAGATACATGATCACTTGAGCGTGTATCACTCATAGCACATAACTGACTGACTGATGCTGACATCCTTAAGGTGACATACAGAAATACACCAAAACATAGCGGCCCTCAGAGAGAACACACGTTCCAACTAAAAATCCTATACCACACAGGTTAGCCCCTGTAAGACAATCGACAGAGAACACGCCCAAGCTTCAAAAAATGGGATAAGCTTCCAACCAGGGTGGGGGGGTTATAGCTTTCCTAATAGAAAACATGATGCAAGCTTCCGAGTTTTTGCAAAAGAACTCAGTCATGTTTGCATTTGTAAACATGACCTGTACGAGCCAGTAATGAACCTAAGCAATAGTAAATTCTCGCTGGGTGAATTTACAGATCGCGACATCTATTAGGGAGATGTGATTAATTATGCTTTAATGTTTGAAAAAATATTGTTATTGTTTAGGTCTTAGAGATTTTGCAAAACAAGGAGGAGGCTTAATATCAAGAAGAGGCAGCTGAAGTTTCTGGAACACACAATGAGGAAGGAAGGAAAGCCTGGAGAATCGAATAGAAAGAAATAAAGACAAGGGGAAACAACGCGTGAGATACCTGGCTGGCTTAAGTAAGTGGCTAACAGAACGTAGTCTGGGGGAGGAAGCAGAGGGAAGGAAATTGTTGAGGGAGGGGGAGAACCTGTAAGCATCTGGCACATAAAAAGAAATGTTTCGGCCACCATGGCCATCATCAGGAGAAAAAAGTCATGCTTGCTAGTAGCAGTAAACTAAAGGGATGAATGTCTCTGAGGAAATTGAACTTTGCCTGTAGTTTTCATTTGTTTTCTGTTCAAAGTTGCTTTTTGGGGGGAGGTCGCGAGACTCATCAGTGTCAGATTTACCACTTTGAGAATTTTATTAGATGCTGTATTATGTTGATGTTATCTTTTAATTATTTGGGAGTGTTTGTAATATGTGTAATGTGTATATATATATATATATATATATATATATATATATATATGTGTGTGTGTGTGTATGTGTATGGGAAACTTCATC